ACTGTTTATTTTGTTGTTTTGTACTTGTTTATTTGTCACAGCCAGGTTTCGACTACTTCTCGCGCGTCTTAGGGTTAAATTAAGCAAATTTGACTGACTAACTGATTAATACAGGATTCTACTCATTTCTCTGAATAACACGAGTCCTTCTTGAAGGATATAGTTCATCGATGGAGGGAGTACTTTCAGTAACTCCTTAACCCAATACCACAAAGCAGCCTGAGCGGCAGCAGGCAGCGGATATTAGTCTTTCAGTCGATGAAATCGCTGAAGCTGTTAAAGGGTGTCGGGATCGATGAAATCTACCATGAAATACTCAAAGCTGTAGGTGATCGGGGTATGTTATGCCTAGCGCGGGTCTGTCAGATTGTCACGGCTACGGGACATACTCCCGTGGACTAAACAACGGGGGCTGGGGTACCCATAATCACGAATTCACGAAGATTGACCATAGAGAGAGCTCCAGTTATCGGGACATTACCTTATTGGGCCTCCCGTGTAAAGCCTACACAAAGGTGTTAGGAAAGAAATATCGCGAAACAACTTAACTCTAAAATGCAAGAGGAGCAGTGTAGCCTTCTGATCCGTGCGAAGCACCTCTGACAATATCTTCGCCTCACACAAGATTACTGCGAAATCGTTGGAGTTTCTTCATTCGGCTTACAGGTGCGTTGTGGACCTGGGGAAAGCCAATGGCAGGATCCCCGTGCAAACTATGGAATGCCTGCAAACATATGGAATCGATGGTCAGTTGCTACCAGCCATCGATTCACTATATCTAAATGGCAAGCGATGACTAAATTGAGTTAAAGTCACAACGTCTGCACTGGTTCGTGGCAAGACTGCGTTATGTATCATTTTCGTCCTGTACCACTGTGTTGTGCTTGAATAGAATGGTCGGTCGCTAAGAGGGCGGCGAGTGTAGTGGCATAAGGGATGTGGATACGAGTCAGTTGCTGTCTGCTGACAACCTCTACTTTTGACATACTCTGAAACTGTTCTCAAACGCTCTCGGGGAAGGCTCGCAGCCAAGTGCGACGTGGCCGACATGCGTGTGCACCTGTCTGAAACCGAATACTTCGTGTCTCTTCGTTCTTCTGTCGACAGCGCTCAACAGAGAAAAGGAAAAGCGGTGGAACAGGTGCAGAAGTTTAAGTACCTCAGGTTCGTGTTTACTTATGATGGAAGGGTTTGAGGAAGAGATCGACCGGCGAATTGTAACGGCTACCAGCTTCCAGCGTGACTAATCTGAACCGTTGTCACTGAAACATAGCTGAGTCTGAAGACTAAACCCTCGATGCTCAAGTCGGTCTTCATCCCCGTGCTTACTTACAGTCATAAGTCGCGAACCGTGACTAAAAAATTTCGATTCCGGATACAAGTGGCTGAAATTCGCTTTCTGAGACAAGTCGCTCGTCTTACGCGTAGTGCCGGTATCCGAGAGAGCCTTGGTGTACAGCCGCTACTTCTTCAAATTGAAAAGTCACAACTGAGATAGTTTGGGCAGGACTTGAGAATGCTTTGAAGTGGGAAGGAGAAATAGCTACTACTTGCCCAAATGACCAGCCGAAGTGCCTGAGGACAGCCAGGAATAACCTGGTGCAAGTGTCTGCAAGTGCCTGCTCTAGGCTTGGAAGCTTCTACCGTAGCTGACGCGTTGGCACAGGACCGGGAACGCGGTTTGGATGCCGTCGGGATGCGTCTGTCTCTGCGACCTGAAATGATAAGCGATCATCGAAATTGACCGATTGACCGACTACAAGAAGAGTAAAAGACTGTTACTGACATTGACAAAATTCAACTACGTAGGGACAAGTTCCAGTTACAGCGTTCGTTTATATTCTCCTGAAAAACAAAGACTTTAAACGCTTAATGCTGAAATGGCAATAAACAGGACACATTCGAAGAAGAAGCGACCATCGCTCTACCAGATATACATCAGACTGGGTTCCAAGAAAAAGTAAACTGCTGGTAGGAACACCAACAGATCGATGGCAAAACGAGCTGAAGACTTCGTGGAAAAAAGGCGGACCCGAATCACTGAAAGCAAACGTATGTGAAAAGTTTTATGGAGTTTTATTTAAATGCTATCACGTGATCATAAGGTTTAAGTTATTGTCATCAAGTCTGAGGGAGGGTCTGGGCGAAACGATTTAGGGACAGCTGTCCTCTTCGTCGCCAGAAAAAAGTGTGATTCGCTTTACGCCATATACAAGTCTGAAAAAGAGATGGAGCAATAAGCGAGCCATGTGAACCTGCACATGTTCTGATGCATCTACAAAAACGGCACAGACTCTATAAATGAATCGCTACATAGCTGCCTCGAGAATACTGTTCAATGTGCAGCAAGTGTCAGTGGTTCGGTTTCACCAAAGACTTACAGATCAACCTGTGTCGGTCTCCAACCGTTTTGTGAAGCCATCAAAATCGAAAGGACAGAACCTCTCACTGGCATCTTCCGCGTAGTAAAAATTACCATGGAAGAGAAAGAAGCTAACAGTGTTGCTATCAGCACGCAGCAGCATTTCTGTAGAATGTACTGTACAATGTATTGAGACACACACACCACCTCAAAGCACGGAACGTTGCGACTGGATGCTTCGTACAGTAATACGCTTCTGCTCATCCGAATTCTTTGTTCCTGTACGTGATAGGTAATGTTGACTAGCGATGGACTCAGCGCATTATAGAAGGGCGTTAACCGTACATCTGGTATACGATCGAAAAGAGACGGTTCGTTTGAAATTAACGTGAGTTGATGGCTGTCGTCCGCCAGCAGCAATGTATCAAGTCGCGGCGCTGCACGGGTTAATGATTATGCTGCCCCGTCAACTGTGTATGCCAGTAGATATGGCTGATACGCAAAATAAATACGATAACTCAGCTCAATGACAGAAAGTGCCTTCTTTGCAGATCAAAGAAAACTGCCGGGGCCGGTATGGTTAATCATCAATGCCTAACAGTCAGAGATGGTAGGAGGAACCGTCTCTCTCTCACATTCTCTCTTTCTTTTCTCGAGAGAAAGAGAGAGAGGGAGACCAAGAAGCTCAGTAACCTGAGATGATAGAATGACTCTTTGCGCGCCTTGTTGACCACGCACTTAACCGGACAGATTAGTTTAGGTGGTAATTTAGATGAACCTTCGAGTACTTAGCGGTATAGGTACTTGGGGTCAGTTCGCTTTCAGTGGATATTGTCTGTTCGGAAGGTTATAACAGATGTGTTCTCGAGGAGCCTTTCATAACACAGGTCGTTACGAGGTCTTTGTACTGCCATACTGGCAGGCATACTGACTTACGTTGTTTTCCGTGCAGGCCGGAGCAGCCCGAGTAATGTCTGCCGTACAAAGTACGGACGTTTTGGTCGTAATCGTTGACATCGTCGTCTTCGTTGAAAGCCTTGAAGCAGAACGAGCCCATGTTGCCGTTGCTCGTCACCACCAGCATCAATGGTTGTAGCGGTGCCCTGTCGGCGGAATTCTGGAACGATGGTGCTAACGAGTGACGGAGGCGGAGGAGATGACGACCAGTGGTTGTCGCAAGCGACGACAGCTCCTCAAGTTGGCTCAGCGAGCCTCAGCGAGGCGAGGTGAGGCGCGGTGCGACGGGACTCATGGACGCGTCGTGGCTTTGGCGATGACGTAACACGATCCGCAACTTGGGTGACGTCACTAATGTAGTTTGGCCATAAAGCGCATGTCATTAAATAATGTGAAAGATTTTTTCGTGATCGATTTCTGGCAGTTTGATTTCAGGCGCGGTTTAACGGTAGCCATCCAATTCCAAGTTCAGGATCGCTTGATGAGCACTGAAATTCATGGCACTTCATATATTTTTCAGCCGCTTGCGAAACTCACCAAATTCCGTGCAAGGACATAGTAAACATTCGTCGATTATCGGATGCAACGAAATTAATGTCGTGCACCGACGTCCGCTGAGCCAAATTACTCGAAAAACACAGAAGGACAAGGTACGAGGGGCGTGCATCGTGGCACGTGGCCAAAGCGGAA